CCTGTATTGATGCTGTAGTTCCTGCAGGCTTTAGTACATTGCTGATGGCCTTGAGCTGCCCAGTAAGAGTATGTGCGATGGACTGGACAGCTCCTGATGGTTTTACTCATGCGAGTAATTTCTTTGGTGCTCACATGAAGAATGCTTAAAAGTGTGTGTGTAGATATGTATATACACACACACATCAAACAATAATCAAACCAAATTCTGTAGATAGGGTGAGGCTGTTGGAGGCTCTTTTTCTTCCTGTGAGCAGCTTCCCATGCTGCAAAGCTGGGGCATCAGGAGTGAGAAGGCCATGAGAATATGCAGAGACCCTCAAGGGATGGATGCTCTGCTCTGCCTGGGCCTCACATTAAATGGGGGTCCTTGTTGCTTTGGGGGTCAGAGGTGCTGGCACGGGGAGGTGGAGGTACCGAGAGGTCTTTAGGAAAGTGGTTGGGTGTGCTGGGCTCTTATGCTGCTGCCTCAGGGGTGACTGGGTGAAGGCAGGAGCAGGCAAGGACCTGAGTCTGCTTGCATTTGGTGACTGCTGTGCCTGTGGATGTCCCCTTCCAGCTCCCTGCTCCATCCTCAGCTGGTGCTGGTTGTGCTCACAGGGCAGGTGCTTGAGGGGTTAGTTCATTTCTTTCAACACACTTTGAGATCTGATTTTAAACTAGAATGAAATGTGAAAGTCATCCTGTATTACAAGTCATATAAAGCCTATTCCGCCAAGAAGAGCTCTTCTGGTTAAAATATATCCAGGCTTTGAAAGGAGTTGTTGTCTTATCTGCACAGAGATTTTATTTATCATCCTTACAGTTTCACCAAAAGCCAATGTTGTTGCGGTGGAGAAAAGCTACGGGAAGGAAGTAGCAGCAGGAAAAAACGTTCTGCAGAGCTTTTCTTTAATTTCAAGCATGTGGAACTGCAGCAGCATCTAAATATATTGCGCCTTTGTGAGCGCAGCTGCGCAGGATGAGGGGGGCTGAGGAGGGAGCAAGTGACTGCTCTGGGCACAGGCAGGGCTGGGGGATAGCTCCTGGACATCCATTTGGATCCAGGCATCTCAGCCTGTTCCCAGAGCAATGAGCTTTATAGCCCTTGCTGTGTGTGCAGGAGTAGGGGAGAACTGGAAAGCCTGAAATTCAGTTGCCACCTTCTCTTGAATGCACAGGTATTTCTTCTGTAGCACAGCACGTCCTCCCTCCCACTGCAGATCCATCAGGTGTCTGCTTCGAGTGCCGGCTTACATGACTTTTCTAAATAGCTTCTTTTTTACAGTTCCCTAAAAGATAAATGTGTTTCCCTAAACTCTCTGCAGCATGAAAATCTAATTTAAGGTTCACTGAAGTTTTGATGGCTCAACAATCTTCCTTAAAAGCCTTCCAAAATCTCAGCAAGGTGGGAGTGTGCTTCATCCTGTATGAAAAAGTGGAGAAAAATGTGAAGCAGGACAGAAATCGCAGGCAGGCAGTGCTAACGTGATGTATACCCTTTAATTATGTCCTGCTTCTCCTAGCTGACACTCTAATTAATTCGTTTGCTGTGCGCTGCTTGCAGTGTAAGAAGTGTTGAGTGAGTGCACTAGGTCAGATGTGTGAGCAGCGAGTTTTGCAAGCAAAGACATTTGGGAAGGGTTGCTGTGATGGTGGCTGAGCATAACTCTGGGTCACTGAACCTCCCACCGGAGCTGGGACTGCTCTGCTGGGTGAGCTCCCCTGGGACCAAGCTCCTGCAGCATCCTGGTGCTGATCCCTGTTCTTGGCCCAGCTGGGCTTTCACCTCCTCCTTTGAGCAAATTAACACTGGGTGAGGCTTTAATTGAGGAATCTTAACAGTTTAACCCTTGACAGATGCACAGGCTGGTGTGACGCCCTATCTGTGATGCTGGTTCTGAAATGTGAGTGTGATGCAGAGGGAAAAATAAGGTCACTTCTTTCTGGTAGTTAGTTCAGAGTGAATTCTGCCTTCTGATATTTAGAAAATGATGGGACATGCTCCCACAAGGTGATTAGCCCCAACCCCAGGGAAATGAGCAGCAGGACAAAACCAGCCATCCCAAACCCCCAAATCCAATTCAGTATACAAGAGCAGACAAGAAACTTTCCTGCAGCCACTGGCAGGATACCCTGTGCTTGCAATTGGATGCAAAGCCAGATGTTTTGTAAGCAGAAGGGGTCAGCTGCTGACATTGCCTCATTGGTGTTTGCTTTGGGGAAACCCAACACTAAATATCCACTGACCTGGGATGGTGGTGGAGGGATCTGATTTGCACCCAGGTACTTGAAGCTTGCAGGGCTGAGCATTTGCTGGTCACTCCAGCACCAGACCAGACCCATGTGCCAGATCTTTATGTGGCATCGTCCTCGCCAAGAGCAAGCCAGGGATGAAACTGTACTGGCAGGAGGTGAAGCTTTGGCTTTCAGCCAGGAACCCTTTTTTTCTTTCTTTTCCCCTGCAGAAGTGACGCATCTGCGGGCGATGACATTGTTTAGTGGTCAGTTTTGCATTGGTAAATAACCCACTGGTAATCACACCTTGCTAGGCTCTGGGGTGCTTTGGAAATGGAGCAAATCTAGTTTTAATACAGAAATTCCACAGTCAAAGGTGAGGATAACCAGTTGGGGAATTATTTTCCAATGCAAAGGAACAAAGTTATGGGTAAGGGTCAGGAGCAGGAGGTCTATCTGCCACTGCCATGCTGTGTCATGGGGGGGTTGTGTTTGTAGAGAGTGAGTTGGAATATGCAAGAGAAAGACAATGACTTACTAAGGAGAAAAAGCGATTTAAAAAAATATACATCTAGTATATTTTTCTTCCAACATATTCTTATTGGCTGAGGTTGTGAATCATCCTCAGTCATTGTTTGAAATGCCAAGTGTGCCTTGCACTTTCTGGAGTGACTTTTCTTTAAATTAGAGCTGAGCAGCAGCTGCCCTGGCTGGTTTGGGCGTAGGTGCCCTACACCAAATGCCTGGGGGAACTGTGTGCTGCCTTCCCTGCTCTTGGCTCTGGGTGGGATTGTACCAGAGCATCTTGCTTTCCCGACCCCATCTGATGCTTTAGACATCACCTTGCTGAGCAAAAACTTACCTCCCTGGCTGGTTTTGCAGTGATCAAGGGAAAAAGAATACCCCAAGGATTCCCTACCCATGTGGTCCTGATGATGTTAGGACAGGGTTAGGGTTCTAGGCCCCTTGTGTTCCCTGAGCTGGGTTTGGGAGGACAGGGGGAGACAGACAGATCCAGGGCAGGTACATATTGCATATATTTATTTGCTTGTATTTAAAGAGAGAAAGCACTCACTATTCTTACACAAGCCATTGCCAGCTCTGGGCTGCTGTCCATGTGCCCAAACACTTGAGCATTTTGTCTCTCTGTTATGTACTCTGTGGCTCGTTGTGGCATGATTTGTTTTGTAAGGTTGTAGCCACTGAAATTCAAGAGAGGCTGCGCAATCCACCAGGTGTATAAATAGTTGCCTTTCTTCTCACCTGTGCTGGGGACCTCCATGCATACTTAAGTGAAGAAATCGCTTTGGGATAAACAGTCTTAACCCATTTTTCAGTAGAAATGCATTTTAATGTATTCCCATAAAAATAACACTTCTGAAGCTTTAACATGGAAATTAGGCTTCATTTGGATTTTTTTTCATCTGCATCAAGAAGCTTAATGATAAACTGAAACCTATTTTCATTTTTATCTTTATTGTGCACGACCAGAGTGTATTTTACTCCCAGGATGAAAGTGCCTTTCCTGAGGTCTATAGCTGTCAGGGCATAGCAGGGCAGGCAGTGGTGCCTGCCTGCTGTAGGGCAGCTCTGGGATCAGTGCGTGCTACTGCTGCCTGATTATTGCCCTTACAGAGAGCAGAAGTAAATGCAAAATTAGCTAAAAATGTGTGCTCTTTGCTGATTCTTTTTATTTCAGTAGCATTAGCTGTGTTAGATATTTCTGTTCTGTGAAATCTTTGCTTTTCCAGAACTTGGGTTATTCTGCAGGAAACCAAGAGTTTCAGTTTAAATGCACAGTAAGCATACATGTTTAATAATAACTTTATCTGCACTCAAAGAAACCATGTATAAAGTAATTCGAATTGACTAAGAGAGCAAGATTCTCCTAACAGAGACAACTCTTCTTGTTTTGGTTCTAACAAGGGAATGATCAAAGCAGCTCGAGCACTAGCAGCAGGCGCACTCTCCGCTTTCTGACTCTTGCTCAGGGTTCATCTTCCACACTTGCTGTGAGCAATGAGCTAACCAATACATTTTTAATGAAGATGTGGGAGCACTTACGTACCTATTGCATCTTCACAAGTGCAAGCAGCCAGGGAACATTTAATTTTTTCCCCTCTTAGCAACATCAGAGCTCAACCCCTCGTTGGCACCTCAGTCTCCTCCATCTTGCCCAAATTGTGCTGGGTCTGAACCTCTCTGGCCTCCTTATTGAGGGATGGTATAAGGCAGAATTTTAAATTCTGGGGAATTTTGTGTGAGCCACGTGAGCATTGACCTATCCATTAAATGAGCAACATGTACTTTTATATGCAGCTGGGGTGTAGGTCTTGAAAAGCGCTGTGGATCAAAGTGACCTTGTGACAAGCTTGCAAAAGGCATAGGTAATGTCACAGCGACCTCTCTTGTCTCTCAGCATCACTTTCCATGGGGTGTTGTGTAAGGTCAGAGAAGGAGGGCAGAAGGGGTGTCTGCCAGCGTGCATATGGCCTGTCTGAGCAGTGTCCCATATGTGACCTGGTGCTTCCCCATCTCAAAGCCATCTCTTCCAGTGGCTTAGGAAATAAGTATTCCTAAGATATATATATATATATGTGTGTGTGTATACATATACTTATATATACACACATATAAAATATATATAGGAAATAGTACACTTGTAGCTTAGGAGTATCCAGTTTGATCCACATGCTATTTCCACCACACAATATTTACTTTTTAAACAGTGGTCATAAAGAAATAATGCCCCCAGTTTTTCCTAATAATAGACTGGTCTGCAACTGAGTCTAAACTGCAGCTATGTTTTGAGCCAGCTAGTGAAAGCACTGCTCATCGGCTGTGCTGGTATTGGACATGGGCTTTATGGAGCAGCTCCTGGGGAAAAGTCACTTCGGGTTTTAAATACTTCTTGTCAATAGAAGTATTTTTTTCTGCTGTAATTTTGGCTTGTGCGATGCTAAATGCTGAAGCACAAATTTAGGAAGAATTTCAATCCACAAATGACATGTTTCACTAGCACCATAATTTTTTTCCAATTTGTCAAATTGAAGCCTTGGAAAATGAACTTAGTTTTGCAAAGAGCTTCAGAGTTCAATAAAACTATGTATTTTGACAGCACATAGTCCTGTCAGTGCTTCCCTGAATGGGTTTATGGGCCAGTCCCATGTCCACATGCCTGTCCCCTCAGGAGAGGGGATTCCAGTGCCTGTCCCTGTCCTGCCTGGCTGCAGAACCTCTCACTCGGGGATGCAGCAGCCTCTAAGCCAATTAACCCTATTTAAAACCCTTTTGATACCAAGGAATCTGAATTTTGGTAGAACAAATTTTTTGTCTGCAAAAACCACTTGTAGTAACAGATTATTTTGTTCTTTCTAGGCACATGGGTCACTTTTGGAGGTCAAATCTCAGATGAGGTAAGTAATGCTTGGTCTAAGTGCAATGCATGAAATAAAAACCAATATGAGATATTTTTAAATGAAACCATGACTACCGAAATCAGAGGAGCCTGTTTCTGTACGAGGAAATGACAGAGAGGTACTAAGCAAAGCAACACAAAGCTTGAGCTTCTGCTTCAAAAAAACCTTAATGAAACTGATATTTCCAGAAGTCAACTTTAATAAAAACCAACCATCCATCCCTGAGAGTGATCTTCTTTTCCACGCTCTTTGGAGAGATATTTCCTCCTTACCATTGGCAATGGCACCGCTCTTGGAGCGGAAATTGGAAACTATTTTTGCATCATGTATGTAATCGGCAACAGTCATAAATACAGGCTGGGGCTCAGCTTACAAGGAGCTGCCTGATGAAATATGTTTTTACATAATAAGATGAAACATGAAAATGAGCTTGGGTTTCCTACGCACTCTTGCCTGTACCAGGTGGCTCTTAATCTCAGTTAATAATCCTCTGAGTGCTGGGCAGCACGTGGGTTTCCTTCCATCTCGGGTTTGCTGCAGAGGCTAGTCATCAAAAGGAGAGCAACCTCCCGGCTGCCTTCCCTCTTGTACATGACAAACCCCAAAATAACTCTGGCAGGAGGAAAACAGCCCAAGAGTCTGAACTCAAAGGTTTTTTGCTTTTCAATTTGCTTGTTCTTTGGTGATATTTCTTCTGCTGACAGTGGATTACTGAGTTCATTCCTGTTTCTTGGCATTGCAGGCTGAAGAGAGATGACTTGTTTCAATTATAAATTTGTTCCCTGGTTCTCCTGTCCTCCTTGATTAGAATAAGTCAGTGCAAAGTGTTCATGCATGGAAAAAGAGGACTGAAACCCAGCCCTGTCCTTGAGGGATGCCCACCCTAAGGACATTTGCTGTGCATGGATGCTCTGGCTTGGTACCCCCCCTGCCCGAGCTGCCAGCCCCTTCTGGGTGCAGAATCCCCCCAGGAAGCAGGGGGAATCCTGGCACTTCGATGGGCATTGTGTGAAATTACCTTCAGGTATTTACATACCCAGCAATGTCTGCTGGAGAGCCACATGACAGCCAAAAAAACCCCAAACCCAATTAAATTCTTACCATGGAAATATCCTTTCTGTATTAATCTCCACAGATTTGCAGGCTATTTTCTATAACCCTATAGAACTCTTGATCGCTTTATTATTAGAAAGTTCCTATGAGAAGAGACGAATTCCTCCCAGGAAGAGTCAGAGGGGAAGTTGATGTAAATCCAATGCACCATGTTTTGGTGCTTCTCAGGCCAGTGCACATCCCACTGGGTGCCCTGCCGAAGGGTCTTGTTCCCCTGGGCAGAGGATGCTACACCTCTCCCTGCTCTGCTAAAGCCCATTTGTGCATTCAGGGCTTTTCCCCATGCAGGATGAGACGTGGCCTTTCTTGCCACCCCTCACCTCTCTGTCTCTGTTCCCTAAGGTGGCTGAGCAGCTGATGACCATTGCCTATGAGAGCGGCGTCAACTTGTTTGACACAGCTGAAGTGTATGCAGCTGGCAAGTGAGTGCCCAGCATCCCCTCCACTTCCCTGGGGTCCCTTCTCCTGGCTCTGCTCCTCCCTGTGTCAGTCACTCATGATAGATAAGGCTCTGGCCCTGGTGGTGCTTGGGAAGCCCCCTTCTCCTTGAAGGGGAGCAGAAAAACCTTTATGTTTAGAGTATTGTTGTGAAAAAAAAATCGAACAAAAAATTAAACCAAGCCCTCTTGTAGCCAGCTGAAGACTGAAACGTATCACTTGTGCCCCATCCTGTTGGTACAAGTAGAAAAATGTCCTGAATAAATGAAAAGTCAGTGTGCATTTTAATGGTGATAAATGGCCTGTGCCAGTGACAGCTCCCAGGCACAGATCCCAGCACGGGAACCATTCTGGCTGCAGCCAAGCTAATGCTCTTAGTGTCAATGTGGAATTGGAGTGGGAAATATTCATCCATAATTTATCTGACTTTGGCTGATTTATACAGCTTTGTATTTAGTGTAAAAGGTGGACTAGGACATCACATCCCCGGAGTGGAGACAAAATGGCTTTGCCTTCCCAGAGCAGATTCAAGCAGATGTAGTGCATAGAGGTACAGCTCTGTACCTGCAGGAGTGGGTAACAAGATCTTGGTAGTGATGGAGGGGACCCATCCCAGCCAGCACTGGGTCACCATAACCAGGGGAGGGGAGGGCTGCACAGCCCATAGCAGTGCTGTAGGCCAGTGTCTGGGGGAGACATTCAGAGGGCTAGGGTAGACAGCAGCCATGGTGATCTACCTGGCACTGAGCATCCTCCTGTCTCCCCTCACACGGGGCTTTCTCTCTCTTGCACAGGGCTGAGGTCATCCTGGGGAACATCCTGAAGAAGAAGGGCTGGAGGTACTGTACTGCCAGACACCTGCAAATGGATGGGACCTCTGGGCATATGGGAATCCTTCTGGGTTTTAAAAATGATGCATGTTAGGTGATGCTGGCCCAGGAGCAGGTGCTGCTGCTTCCAGGCAGTGCCAGGAGCTTGCCTGTGCAATGATCACATGCAGTGCAGCCAGAAAGGACTTCTGCAGCAGCCAGACCTTCCAAGTGCCACACAAAAATGCTCTCCTGTCTTTTGGGGAGCGCAGACCAGCTTCACAAGGCTGCAATCATCAGCCTGCTGTGCTGCCTTGACCACTGTCTCTGTGCATGGTGCAGTTAAGACAACTTCTGAGCATACCCACCGTCACTGCCTTGCATGGTGCATCAAGACAGACGGTTGCACATTGGTATCCTTATCTCTGTATATAACATTGTGTATTAAGAATGCAAAGCTGTGATGGGCCTTCATCTTGGGTAGCCTGGTAGGAGATGATACTTAATTTAAATGATGCACATTACCATATGTTGTGTAGTTTTAAGAGCATTTACATAATCTTTCAAGACCTCCTGTGTGTGTCATGTTCAGCCTTCAACTGAAGAATGAGCTCTAGTGGTGCTCTCTCCAAATCAGTACCCCCTGTGTTAGAGGGATGATTAGTCACTAAGAAATATTCTGGATACTGTGGAAGGGGGGAAAAAAACCCCAACAGTCTAGCAAAAGCTGGAGAAATTGTGTGTTGTACAGTTACACAGTAAGGTAGTCTGCAAAGGATAAATCTTTGGTTGGATATCACATGGGAATTTATAGATTAATTCAGAGAATTTAATACTCAGTTTTAATAGCTCTGGGAATACTGCATGACGGTGAGAGGCACTGGACTTGGATAACCTTGACTAAGGCTCTGGAGATTGCTTACTCCATAATTAAAAATGTACTTTTTTTTTTTTTTTTTTTTTTTTTTTGTAATTTCACTTGCATTAGCTTTTGTTTCTGGACAACAGTCCATGGTCACTCCCTGCCTGCAGCGGACCTGAGTGTAGGAAAAGTAACCTGTTGTAAAAAGGATCATAGTGATGTGTGGACACCCACTTGATGGGCAGCATCCTGCTTGGTTACTTGTAATTGTTTTTAACAGTAATAGTATTTCTGTTCTTTTTGCAGACGGTCCAGTCTGGTCATAACAACAAAACTGTACTGGGGTGGAAAGTAAGTGTTGCAGTTACTCGTAATGGTGTTTGCTGCTGCTTCGTTCTTTTCCCTTTTACAGCCGTACAACCTGGTGGAGATCAGTGGCACCTTGGAGGGGTGGCTTGTTGCTGCTGTTCTCTTTTTCATTTTGCCAAGTCATTTAGGGAGATGGAGCTTAGCAGAGGTGGCAGTTGCCAGCAGAGGCTGGGGAGCCGTGCTGGGTGTGCTCCCACCCCGAGCATCTCTGCAGCTCTGGGAGGTGCAGGGTGAAGGGGAGGCCTTGTTTCAAAATTGCAGATGATGTCAATGAAGCTTCAGTGTTGGGGTCAGCCAGGGCACAACCTCATCCCCTGGCCCGCTGCCTGGCCCCAGCAGCCCCCACTGCCCTGCCAGTATCCTTACCTCTCTGCTTGTAAGTGTCAACAAGTAGCTTGGTAATATCCATAGCAGGGCTCTTACCATGTTAAATTAGCAGTACTATTACATATCAAAGATGCTGTTGTCTTTGAGACTGGGAACCCAAACAAGGTTCAGGCTCTCTCTGTTGTATAAGTTGTAACTTCATTTTTGGGAGGCTTAAACCAGAATACAAAATTGGCACTCCCCAATTGTTAGCATCTCAGATCTCTAACATCTGTGTGCCTTTTTTTCCTTTGCAGAGCTGAAACTGAAAGAGGGCTTTCAAGAAAACACATCATTGAAGGTACATGTTGCCATGGGACAGGGGTTTGGCTGTGCCTGGGTGCCCTCATAGAGGGTCACCTGGACCCCAGAGTGATTGCTCTCCTGTGAGCCAGGTCTACTTGAGCCTGGTGCTCACTGCTCCCCCATGCCAGTGCTGCCCAGGACAGTTCTTGGGCTTGGCTCTGAGATACCCTAAATGCACCAAAGGATTATTCTGGCTTTTCTCAAAAAGTGCTAGCAAACACATGCACGCAAAAAGCCTTCTCTACCACACCCCTATGAAACAATAACCTTTTGGTTTTTTGCTATAATAAGCAAGTGTGTTGTCCTTGGCTGGCTGTGTGTGTTGCTTGTAGATTTATTGCTTATCTGGTACAACTAGGGTTTGCCATGCTGCAAAACCTTACTGCCTCATGCGAGTTCCTGGCAGCTTTGCATGGTTGTCCTCAAGAACAGCCCTGATCCCAGCTGCTGCGAGATGACAGGAGGTAGGAAGGCCTGGTGGGTCTGGAGCTGCTCTGCTGATACCCCCCAGCCCTTTTCCAGAAGGGATGGGGCAGTCAGCAGCAGTGTGTGGTCAACAGACATGGCCGTGGGCTCCCTCAGTGGAGCAGGGAGGGATGAGGATGCAGGGCATGATGTCAGCCTGCAGAAATAGCCTCTGGAGGGGTGCCAGGTCCCATCTGCCAAGCAGCCGGCTGGGGAGGGCTGTAGTTTGTTCTCAGTGCTGTTTTATCTTCTTGTACACTCCCTTACATGGCTCCTTGCATCCAGTCCTGCATCCCACTGAGAGATGCTGTGTGCTATCTTGCTCATCCACCAGGATTTATTCACCCAAGTCTCTGCTGGGTCTAACAGATGCTCCTCATCTTCCTTCCAATTGCTTTTTTGTTCTTTTGTATGCATTATTGTTGGAGAGGGAGTGAGAGCACATATGTGTTTCTATATGGATAAGTGTGTTACATTTGATATGGCTCTTTCCGGGGACTGTTGGATGTTGGGTCAGGTACCCAGGAACAGTGACCATGGGCACAACTATAACTTGCAGAGGATTTTACATGCAGGACACAAATGCACCCATAAAAGACATATTTCTATCATGTTAAGGATCACAGTGCCAGCCTGGGCTGGTTCCTGAATGAGGCTGCAGCAGACTCCCAAAAAAAAAAAAAAAAAAAAAACCCAGGGAGGACCCAGGGGCCAATAACTTTCCCCCATGCAGATTGTAAGCAGGTTCCAGACCCAGAAAAACAGCCAGCAGCACAAGGGTGTGGGTCTGTCTTCTACCTAAATTCTGAGTAAAAGTAGCATGGGTTAGGAGAAAAGCTGCATAAAGCCATGGAAGGGAATTACTGGGGGTGTCTGGGTCCTCGGTGGCTTGGCAGCCTTCAGGGGAGCATCAGGCTTGGTACCTGTGCTTCAGATCTCTGCAGAGGGATTTTCACCGCCTGCCTCTTGTGGTTTGACCCATTTCTGTCTGCTGCCACAGACGGATGTGCAAAACATGTTCTTTGGGTTACTAGGAAATTATATGCTCCACACCAAAGTCCTTGGGGAGAGCAGGGCAGCAGACTGTGCTGGTCCTCAGGGAGCAGCTTCTTGCTAGGCGATGCCAGCCTGGATAACTCAGGGCTGAAGCCCCAGGGGAGAGGCACCCTCCATAAACCAACATGCCATAATGACTGCAGCAATGAAAACTGATTCTCTTTATTGCACTGTGTATGCTTGGATAATTAGTCTTCGATTTATGAGATAAGCCCTAATTGCTTACCATGGTGGCTGGTTAAGCTAGTGTATGCTGCCAAGACAAATCGGAAAAGAAAATTTGGGCTTATCTACATTACTAGAGTGCTGTGGTGTTGTAGTTTGATGATGCAGGGGGACCAGGCTGTTCACACCACAGAATAGGCAGGAGGTACGCTTTGGTCTTTGCTTATCAGAATGTAGCATCTGGCTGCACAAAATCCAGTTTGCCTGCCAGAAATGGCAGCTGTAACTTGCGTTTGGCCATTTGCATGTTTTATCATCGTAATCTGCAACAGCCCATTTGCCACAGATTTCAACAACCAGAATTTGTTCTGTGTATGTTAAAACATAGATTATATGGAAAATATTGCTATATTTATATTATCCACCTCTCAGCTGGGATGTTGCTGTCACCTGTATCATACCCTCAAGCGGGTGAGGTGGGATCAACATGGTCTTTGGCAAACACGATGAGCAGAGCAGCCCCCTCCATGGGGTGCAGGGTTGGACATCTTCTGTCTCAAAGATGTATTTCTCAGTGATGAGGAGCATCACCAGAGCACAGTCAGTTTTGCCTCCTAGTACCCAGCTTGTCCAGAGGTGTTCAGAGGTGTTGCAGCCATGTCATAGGTGGTCCAAACTCATCCATTTTCTATTTCTTGTGGAGTTATTTCATGAAATGATAGAAAAATACTTGCAGCAGTTGAAATAACTTCACAGAACACATAGCGTATAATGTTAAGGTCAATGTTAGCTATTTTCTATAAATACATTTGGCAAAAATGGCCATCTTTTTTCATCTCAAAATTCCGTGAACTTTTTCAGACTGCTCTATTTTGGCTCATTCTTCATGAACACTCAAAAACATTTTGTTCCTGGGAAGATTTATAGAAAATAAGTGTTAGAAATCCTCGTCTCTGTCTCTGTCTCTCTCTCTCTTTTGATGCCATCTCCCATCCAGTCCTTGTAGAGAAGATATTGAAGCCTGGGCAGTCCTGGACTGTAGCTGCGAAACAGTGCCTTGTCTTGCCCTGCAAAACAATTTCTTCCCTATGCAATGCGTTGCTGGGCACAGTTTGCTTACCCTGCAGAGAGGGTAAAACCCGCCATTGTTCTTTATCTGCTCATCATAATGTATCTAAGTGCCACCAACCTCCCATATGGGCTTGCATTTCTGGAAGGTCCCCTGGGGTAGGGCTTTGTTAAGTGGGACAGGATGGAAGCGATGTACCCTGGGCTTGCACAGAACAGCTCTGTGATATGTTTTAGATTAAATTAACTTTGAACAGTAGCAGGGCACTGGAACTGGTCCCTGGCAGCTGCCTTCTGATGGGCTTGCCATGGGCACCCTTGGTAGCCAGTCCAAATCTCAGTGTAGTTGCGCGGGGGCAGGGAGGGAAGACAAGTGCTTGTGGAAGGAGTGCGACTCTGCATGTGGATGAGCCGGTGTTTTCTTCTTAATGTGCCTGCACAGCTATGGGACAACATTATGCAGCATTCTTCTTATATGCTATATGGTGTTGTGTGTGCATATACAATACGCATGTATATGAATGCAATGCGTCATATTTTAGTCTTAATGTAGTGCTGTTTTGTACCTGGTGGCTCTGTGCCACCATACTCCTGCCTCACACTGACCATGCAGGTTCTTGTCTCTGCTTTGCTGTTTCTAGGGCTAAAGGCTTCTCTCCAGAGACTGCAGCTGGAATATGTGGATGTTGTCTTTGCCAACCGGCCAGACAATAATACCCCCATGGAAGGTTAGTGAAAGCTTGAATTGGAGGTTTTAGTGTGGCTGAACCTGGCTTACAGGCTTACACTAATGATGGTAGGAAATGAAAAACAATTTTTTATTAAAATTCAGGTGGAGCAGCTCAAATATGAAATACCTCATTCATGATATCCTTGAGCCCTACACATTTACACTGCAATGAAGTTAATTTGTATCTCTTGGAAGGAAATTGAAGTTTTCTTTGTGTCCTAGTGGTAGCTTTAACATTATTTGAGGTTTTTATTTCCTTTTCCCAATTTCTTTAGATAAAGTGCATTTCTGTTGGTATTTAAGGCAGGTCTCTGTGTCAAGTGAAACCTGTATGTCCTTACCCCTGGTGCGCCTACCTCTAGAGATGGAACATGCCAGCGCTGCCATCCTCATCCTTGTCCCTGTCCCCGTCCCCTGGACTGCCTGGATAGCACATACTTCTCCCAGTGCTGAAACTGGGGGGGTGATGGCCAGAAACAAGAACCAGTTGGCAAGCAGTACAGTTGACTGCCCCAAGCACCTGAGCAGCATAAGCTGAGTCTCTCGTGGGCTCAGCTGAGATGTCGTGTGAGAATGTGGCCTGTGGGAGCATGACAGGGTCCCCCTGGGCATGGAGAGCAGTGATGCTCTGCCTAGAGCTGGGCTCAGCCTCTCCACCGCAGCCACCCACCCCTCGGTCCTGCTGGGGAACGGTTCCTATTAAATTTAGGCTGCTAAACTCAGGGAATGGATTTAGGAACCTGCAAGATCTGTGACTATCTGTGCGCTTTAGTTATGCTTAATAGTTGCTGATAATTATGTATGTGTGTCTGGTACATGGCCATGTAGCCCAGTTATTCAGGAGCCTTCATCAATATATTTTTGGGTTAGTGCCCTATTTAATGGGCACCAGTTCCTGTTCCTTCTCTTTTCCCACTGAAGTTAACACACCCATTCACACAGTGGCAAAAGATTAGCTTCACAGCTAAATAAAAAGCAGCAAGAAGAAAGACTTGTAGGCTGCAGAATCTGTCATAGATGAGTACATGTAAATCAAACAAACCTGGAGCTTGACAGGCCTCTTCGAAGCTCTTGGCTTGGCTTTCAGCGGTCGTGACACCTATTTTCTTAACTGTGTCGTGAACCTTGGATGAATGACAGTACCACGGCCCCAGCTGAACGATGCCAGCAGCTATGGGTTCAGGAAACTGGCTTGAGATTTTAGGACTGTCGCAGGTTTTGCAGTAGCTGATGAGGTCAAGGAAGATGGCATGTTGTATCTTGAAGGGAGAAATGACCTCTCTGCTCAGTCAGTTGTCATCTAATGAGGCAGTGCTGAATATATTTCCCATGCCCATGCAGCTGATCGCAGGTGTTTGCAGCTTTTAAGATGCTACAGATACTGCTAGCAGTGCTGGAGCTTGGCAGTAGGTATAAACTGTGGTGCTTGTTGAGACTTTGAGCAGGGTGAAAAAAGGGACATTTTTATTATGAATGGTGTGGTGCTGATTCTTTCTATGTACTTTGTGCTTTTTTTATGGTTCACCTACTAAGCCACTTCTATCCCAGAGCATCTGTTGAACCATCTGTCAGTTCTGCGCTATCTGGCATGCACAATAAGTGCTGAGATACCTTCACAAGACGTACAATCCCTGCTCTATCTCCTTACATGTCTATGCTTTTCCCATGAGCCAAAGAGCTGCTTTTGATGGAGAATGATTTGTAGGTAACCTTCATGAGGGTCCTGCTTGAGCAAACTGTGTGGCTGTGTAAGGTACAACCAAATAAATCAAAACACGGACTTCACATGTTCATTTTGTTTTCTTCATTTGCTGAGTGCAAGCAGGTGAGGTTTCTCTGCTCACTCTCAGGGTCCTCTGTCTGCTGTGATGTCTGTAGGTATCAGCAGGCAATGGATCAGCCATTTGGAAATACTCATGTGGTCCACCCCATCCAGAGCAGAATTGCTTCCTGCTTGCCCAGGCTGGTCATGGCCCAGCTCAGGCTGCCACAGAAGGCATGAGTAATGGAGAGCTAATACAAGAAGATGAGAATATAATACAAAAGTCCTTATCGTAGATGACTCTAATCCCCAAAGCAGCAGGCAAAGCTTGCTTAATCTAAAAATCACAAATGTATTTATCTTTTTTTAAAAAAATCTCAGAGCAAATTAAAAAGCTTTTCACTGTAAATGCAATAGAATATTAGCTTCAAGTTATGTCTGGAGATAAGTGCTTCTCACAAAGCTCTTTGCATAACCGGGCATTCAGGTCCCTGGCCAGGACAGCCGTGTCTCTCCTCACCCTGGAGCTGGTCTTGGCTTTGCTGGGACAGGCAAGATGAGGGGCTGTCCACACTGGGTTGGCTGTTTATGGGGCTATCCCTTGGCATCTGGGTGGCTCTGCCATTGGACATCCCCCCTAGATGGAGACCTAGGGAGATGGGTGATGGAAGGACCTGTGCTTCTCTCCTGCATTTCCGTGAGCTTCATGCCTCATTAGTCAGGCATGAGATGTGATCCCCCAAATGTGCCAGCAGATGCTTTTTTTTACATCCTGAGTGGCCTTTCCAGCCTATGAGCAGGGCAGCTCTGGCTGCAGGGAAGGAGGGCCCCTGGGGTCTCCTGGTAAGATCCCTTATTGTCAGGGTGCTGGGGAAATGGGTTCTCACTGCATGCCCTGCCTTGGCAAACAAGGCTTTAAACTTTAAACTACTTCAAGATTCTGTTATGCTTCTGGAGGCTGTTTCCTGGGTTTCAAACCATTCATTTATATTTAAAAAATCTCCCCTTCTTAATTGGTGCCATTTGTGCCATCCAGCTGGCAAACCAAAGGATCCGGGCATGTGCTTTTCATGAGCCATTCCCATTGCCATACCCAGAGGAGCAGTCTCTGGTAAACAAGAAGATATATATATATATTTTTCTGATTTAACTTCAGTTTTTCTTGAAAGGAGTAGAGGTGGGAGAAATGAAAACAACCATGGACTGGGATGTGTAAGAGGCATATGATGAAATGCTTATCAAAATTTCTAAATGGTAGTGCAGCAAAAATAGAAAACTAAACCCAGTGAGAAGCCAGCAAGGAGGGAGGGATTGTCATACAGCTGCCTGTCACACATAGCCTGCGGGTAGCAGGGCATCTGCTTTGGTAATGGGGCATTTTGTTGGACTGCTACGTGCCTGAGGATAAAATGCTTAGAAACAGAGAAAAGTGTGGTTTTGCCCAAAACAAGGTGAGGGGAAAAAAAAGAGAAAACAATATCTGCCATTTAAACTCTGCTCTTCACTGGAGGGAAAAAACTCCTCAAGCCCATGTTTCATTTGAGAGGAAATCTCCCTTCTCCCTGTGGGAAGGCACCAGCCCAGCACAAGAGGCACGGTGTCTCTTGTACAGTCCTCCGACGTTATAAATGGAGACTTCATCATCTCTAGCTGCCTGTCGCTGCCTGCAGAGGAAATCTCACAATAATGTGAAGATTGGCAGTGTAATCTCCCCTCTGCCAAGCTCCTTTCTTTCTTTTTTTTTTTTTTTTCCTTTCCATAAGTAGGACGAGAACCCTCATGATGTAAAAGGCAGCTCATCTTGATCGTGAGACAGCAGTGCCTGGAGTCATTGTCCAACTCACAGCAGATGTGCCAAGGGATTTAATAGACACATAGGGCTTCTCTCTGCAGCCCTGTGTCTGACCAGAATCATTTCACCATAGTTTGATGGGTCAGAATTAACAGTGTAGGTGTAGACTGTAGTTTCCTTCCTGCTTTCCCAAGGGAAGAGTGCACTGAGATGTGGCAGTGCTTGCTGTCTGCAAAGTGCCTTATGCAGCACTGGGAGTGGTGACTAAGTACTGTTTTCTTTTGCTTTTCAGAGTGAGTTGATCCCATTTTTGGCCCTTTAAGAGATGTGCAACATCTTAGCAGTGTACTGAGGGTGCCCTGGCAGCTGCGGCTCAGCTCCAAAGTGCCAAAGCTCAGTAGGATATACCAGTTTATTACTGCAGCCAGGGCAGTTATTCATGCTCCCGTGGCTGCTCGTGAGGACCATGTCCCTGATGCTGCAGACACTGTCATTCCTCAGACCCTGAGGAGGTCCTGAGGACCCTGCTCAGTCCCCAGCTCCTCTGCAGCAGTGATGTGATGGGCACTGCCTGGTCCCCTGCGATGATACATACCTGGCAGGCTGCTCCCAGGGAGAAATTTGGCTTTAAAATGAGTTGCAAACAGTTAACACAGGCTATTTCCTTTATAGCCCAATGAGGCATCTTAACAGGCTGTCACCTCCTGGGTAACCACGAGGGATAGACAAGTTTTTTTCCTTTTCTTGCAAACTAAAGTTTATGGTGGGCTTTTAACCCCCACAAGAAGGCAGGGCTGCTCAGCAGAGGTCTGATGGATGGAAATTAAAGATCCTGTCCTGGTGTGTGTAGCCTTGCAGGCTTCCATCTTCCCAAGGAAAACCAAGGACCATGGGACTACTGCGCTAAGGAGCTATGCTGGATTTTGCAGAGGTGCCCTCAGCGGTGCAGGGTTGAATCATATCCAGTTTTGCAACTTTATCCCCAGCATCCTAATATTTCTAGTAGAAAGAAGCAGGACCAGATATATACTTTGAGTAAACAATTTTTAAAATAAATTTATCTTTTAGTGTATTTTTCAACTGTGCTGCCCTCTTGTGTTAGATTTTAAAAGAAGTATTATCATAAGGTGGTGGTCGGCAGTAGTTGGTAAAAGCACTTTTTAAACAACTGCAGGATAAATGTATTTATGTTTGAACTGCCAATGCTTTTTCATCCATGCTTGAGCAAGAAAACACAGAAGTAGTGTTTAATGCAAAGCTGCTCAGGCTTGTCGGCATACTTGGCATTTATAAGCAGCTTTGGGAGGATTTGGTGCTGAAAAATTGGCTTCTGTGCAGTTCTTATGCTAGTTTTTTTTCCTCCTCCTTTAGAAATCGTCCGAGCAATGACACATGTAATAAATCAAGGCATGGCGATGTACTGGGGAACGTCGCGCTGGAGCGCTATGGAGATCATGGTAAAGTCAGTTTTTAGGAAAGTGTTGACATTTGCTAATTTTCCATCCAGGCCACAGAGTCTGCTGGAAGCTATGGTGGGAACTGACATACAAGTATGTGTCTCAGCTTGTGATATTTGAGTCTTACTCCATCCAGCATCTCTTCACCTAAAATAATTAACCTGTTCCAGAATGAGCCCAATATTAATTAGAAGACTATGGGCTGATCTAGTGGTTTGGGTGTTTGGGTGTCTTGGCTCATTTAATTGGGGTTTGTTTCATTTTGGTTTTATTTGTCTGACTTCAAGACTTTTGATAAAGCTCCTGTTGGATGTCTGTGCCCATGGCCACTGATGCCCTGCTCAAGCAGCAGCTCTGTGACCCACAGGACCATCAGAGCTGCTTGCAGTGGGAATGGTCCCCATGTGAGGGAGAAGTCCCCACAGGCAGCACTGCTCTGACTATGTCATGCCCAGAGGTGCAGATGGGAAATATTCCTGCTCAGCCAGCCATAGGGGCCTCCTAATTGTCTTTATCTGAAAAACCCTAGCCTGGGGAGCCAGCATCCTGGCAGCTCATCCTTAATGCTGTGTTAGAAGCGTTTGAGAGAGAAGTCCAGAATAGCAGATACCCCATCCCTGGAAACATTCACTGTCAGGCTGGAGAGGGCTCTGAGTAACCTGATCTAGTCAAAATGTCCCTGTTAATTGCAGGAGATTGGACTAAATAGCCTTTAAAGGTCCCTTCCAACCCAGACTGTTCTATGATTCTAGGAGATGCCAAGAATATCCTGCTGGTCCCTGCTTCTTGTGGTGGGGTCAAAATACAATAAACAAGCTCAGCACCAACCATCTCAGCTGGGAAGCTGTTTGGCTTGTTGCTGAGCTGGTGCTGACACAGCTTTGGGCTGGAGGAGACAGAAGGGTGGGCATGTGCTCTGCTGCTGTGGGAAGCAGCAGGGAAGCAGTGGAGCCATGGACAGAGCTGTGCTTCTGCTTCAGCATGGCAGCACTCACAGGGATGTGCACAGCCTTGCTAAGAGATTATGAAACTTGAGTTTGTACTCTCCTGTACACTCAAGGAGTGTTGGCTCATAGGTTATGTCCTGCAGTTTGCTTTTACTTAATGAAGTGTTTTACCTACTGTTTGTTTTTTTTTTCTCTCCAGGAAGCCTATTCCGTAGCCAGGCAGTTTAACATGATACCACCTGTGTGTGAACAAGCTGAATACCATCTTTTTCAAAGGGAGAAAGTGGAGGTTCAGCTGCCGGAATTATATCACAAAATTGGTGAGTCTGAGACTGCTGTGCCTTTCAGCTATTTCCTCTGCAGAAAGAAATACAGAGTATGGCGTGGGGCTCTACATGGGAACAGTGCTCTCCTTCCCTGTATCTGAAGGGGACAGATGAGTATCTATCTAATGACCTAAAAGAAAAACTGGTTTATTATGCCCCCAATGGAAATAGGTGCTAATTGCCATGGCTGTTGCTTATTTGAGACCCATGTGGACAGTGCAGGTGCCACCTCTCCTGTGCATCAGAAGACAATGATGCCGCCTTGCACACCTCATGCCGTGGTGTCTGGAGCAGCTGTGCTGAGGACCAGTCTGAGAGTGAAGGGGTGGGAGGTGGTCAGGACTTCATGTACTTTGCTGCAGCTGCTCCAGGATGGAGCTGGAGGATCTCACAGTAGGGTTTTGGATGAATAAGCTACTCAGTGTTTTCGAAGAAGATGCTGCTGATGTCCCTTAAGAGCATCAGGAGCATCTTCCTGGAAGACAGCAACTCAGTATCACTGCTAGTAGCTGCAGAAACAAGCAGTAATTGTTTTGCACTTTTTTTTTTTTTTAAACTGAAAGTCCTATTTTTGATACAACTCTGATTTCTCCCTGTCCTCTAAAATCACCTTCTCCGTTTTCTCTGCAGGGGTCGGAGCAATGACATGGTCCCCACTAGCCTGTGGGATCATCTCAGGGAAATATGGCAATGGGGTCCCTGAAAGCTCAAGGGCTGCATTAAAGGTACTTTTTTATTGCATGTTTGAGATAAGTAGATGTGCTGCTTTTCTGAGGGCAGGAAAATAACAAAGGGAAAACAGATCCCTTGTGAGAAGGCTGGCCTGTGTGCTGCTGTATTGATAGATCAGCTTGGTTTCTCTGGCAACCATACTCCAAAGTGCAGGAGAATCTGGGTTATAAAGATGCTCGTGTTCCCCATGGCAGTGAGCTGATGGCTGCAAGCTGGTTGTGGGGCATCACACAACTGGAGCCAGATTCGGGGGGGTGGGGTGTGTGTCTGCAGAAAGATGCTGTCACAACCCTTAACGCTTACCTGACATTATCAATGAAAAGGCACAAGCCCAAGGTTTTTGTCGTGCTTAATGTTCCCGGCTGACAGTAATTGATACAGCTGCTGTGACTTCAGACCCTCTTAACCCCCTCAAAAGGGTAAGCCAGACTTGGACATTATTTTTCTGCCTGCCCTTCCCTGGGCACTAGCTCAGGCAGCGAGGGTGGGTGAGCAGTGCTGGGAGCTCATCCCCACAGCATCCTTCCTGGAAGCCCCAAAGGCAGGGCAGACCCCAGCACCCAGTGAAACCCATGGGTCCTCAGCGATCCTGCCCTTTGCTGGGCAGCGTAGCAGCCCTCTCTAACATGTTTTGGCGTTTTAGTGTCACCGCAGTGTTGGTTTCTCCTGTCGTCATCCTGCTTTTATTCTTATTGGGGGTTATGGAGTCTTCTCCCATACCATACCTGTGGCAGGCATATTGTTTAAATGGTTTGGAAAATGGCAGAGCACTAAAATGTCACAGATCTGGGAAAAAAAAACAACCAAAATGGTATTTGAGCCTCTCTGTCAGCCGATGGGCAAAAGCCAATGCTGCCTGACAAGTGCCAGCAGACTGACATAAGTCTCTGTGTTGGTTTTTGCTCAGCTTGGTGCTTTTAAAAGGAAAGATACAGTCTACAGTGACTTATTCACAAAAGACAGCATTTTCAAATGTGGTATTTCATTGCATTTGGGATTTTTTTCCACAATAAAATACATTATTAACATTTGGTAAAAGCCAGATAAGAATGTAGCATTGCAGAGAGGGATCCAAATTAAATTGATGTGAGTGAAGCAGAATCAAGTTTCAAGTCTGGAGCTGGGAGAACTAAAATCTCAGCTTTGTTTAATTAATTTTTAAATCTTGAATGATAATAGATTTTTGAACAAGATCAGATGTTCTCTCACTTTCTTTTTTTTTGGGGGGGGGTGTAAAAATCTTCTCAAGTTGACTAATATTTCACTTTTTTCCACTCTGCAATGGGATCCAGTGGTCCAAAAATAAAACTGTGGAGGTTCCAGGTTCTGGGCTGAGTCCATTGGTTGCATAAGCCAGAGAGATACAGACGCAGGCTCCCACAGGAGACCTCCTGGCCCCTGTCATAATTGCTTTGGGTAGCAAAGCATTGTGCCATTCAGCCTTCTGGGTTGGATATGGCTTTTTAAGAGCTGCTTATAATTGCCTTAAACTTTCTATTTTGGAAGATTAAAGTTAACAGTCAATTGCAATGTCATTAATCTCCAGTGCTACCAGTGGCTGAAAGAGAAAATCATAAGTGAGGAAGGCAGAAAGCAGCAGGTGAAGCTGAAAGACCTGTCACCCATCGCTGTGCGCCTCGGTTGCACTCTGCCTCAGCTGGCTGTCGGTAGGTGATGGAGGGGACGCTATCCTTGCACCTTCATGGTTGTCATAAATGCAGGACCTAGCTCACATCCTCATAGTGCAGAGGGAAATACTCTGCATCATGGACAGAAATCTTGTGCCTTATGTGTTGCTGAGAGACAAGTTGAGGTGAAATAAAGTCCTAAAACTGCTGGTATTCTGTTAGTGCTCCCATTATTTGTTTAAGTATCAGTGATAGTTAGATAAATGGTAAAAAGACGTGTCATCTTTCAAATTGGACAACAGATGATTTGTGTCTGCCTGCATCTATAGATCTGTTTTATTTAAAACACTTCAATGATTATTTGCTGTCAGGGGTTATGGAACAAAATGCCAGATCAGCAATGCAACACCTCATTGGGAAAAGGCTAATGCATTTCAAGGAACACAGGAAAAGAAGAAAATAAAACAGGCTGTAGGCTACTAAAATGCCATGTATTGCTTTTGAAGTAACCTCTAGCCCATTAGCCTCACACAAAAACAACATTCTTTTTTGTTTGGTTGGGTTTTGAGCAGTAAAGTTAAAAAATTACTTAAAATAAGGTTGTTTCCAGCATCATCACCAGGCTTTGATTGACGAGAAGGCTAGTGTACCTTGGGCCACCCTCTGGGGTTCAACCCCGACCTGCCTGTTTCTCTGAACAGTCCCTCCCCACATGGAAGCTATCAGTTGTTCAGCTGAAAAATACGTGTTAGAGAAATGATCCCTAGTTCAAATAGCCAAGAGCTGAATCCTTGTGATTTGTGACAGGGAAAACCCAAAGCCTACAATTAAGACAACTGCTGGCCCACGGACCAGGGTCAGGTGGGATGCTGGAAGATCTGCTAGGTGGTTTGCTGCATGATCCGTGCATCTTTCTGGTAGTGCTGGAGGAGTAAAGTGAAGATTGAGACAAATAATATTGTCATTATTTTTCAAATAGAGATAGCATCTGGAGTAATGCCATGTTGTGAAGCCTATGTTCCTGACAATCTTGTGACTTTATTCCTAGCATGGTGCCTGAGAAACGAGGGTGTGAGCTCTGTCCTTCTAGGATCTTCCAACCCAGAGCAGCTGATAGAGAACCTTGGAGCCATACAGGCAAGTGCAGGTGGTGGTGGGACCTCAGCAGAGGTGGGGGGTTAGCTGCTCTTCAGCTCTATGTGGGGTAACCAGTGTACCTCAAGATTAGCACCCTCCTCTTACATAGTTTCAGTATTTTGTTTCAGGCATCGTTCAGTTCTAGTGATGCATGTTAATTAGGCAGACCTGTGGTGCACCACCATGACTTACCACCACTTGTGGTAGCCATAGTCCTATCCAGCAACAAAAGGGTGGCATCAGCAGGTCTAATGTATCTGGAAAACCAGTACACACTGTGTACTGCACTAAGTCTTCTACAGAGCACGTGTCACTTGCACCTACCTTAATTATTCTCTGTTGCTTTTAGCAATAAGAGCTTCCTCTGATGTTCCTGCTACCAGCTTGATTTCTGCTGCAGCTGAGCAATATTCTGTATATGAAGTTTAGGAGCACGTCTGTGGTTCTCTCGCTGAGTATAAATACACTACAGTCATTTTTCCTCTAAGGGAGAACAGTATTAGATGAATGTTTAAGTATCTGTCACACAAAACCCCAGAGATGTTATTTGACAAAATCTAGATTTAAATTTGGAAAAGCCTTTAATGGAAGCTTGATTAAACATGGTTTTTCTTCTACCCCTAGGTCCTTCCAAAAATGACATCCCATATTGTAAATGAAATAGATAATATTCTGGGAAATAAGCCCTACAGCAAGAAGGACTACAGATCATAATGCAATGCATGAATTACCTGGACTGCATGGTTTTAGAAGTGCTCTGTACGGAAGTACAGCCCCGAATTAATATCCGGTCATGAGAATCATTCAGCAGCTTGCTGCTCGGTGTCTAATGTCACTGGATCCTTCGAGATGTGTGCTATTGCTACTAATCTGCAGTGAAATTTCAAAGCACAGTTGATCTCTCTTCTAACCAAGAATAATACTGTATTTTCTTACCTTCGACTGAATTCATTAATTTTTACTTTACTCTTAGCACCTCATGCTTGTGCTGTGAAAAACACTTGTAAAGCAAAAAATAATTTATAACCTTCAGGTACTTGGTAATTAACAAAGGATGTACAGATCTATTTTTCAATGAAGAAAAGCCAGATACAACTTAAGGTTTTAATAAAACCACATTTGGGATATCTCAACTATAAAGTTTCTTCAGGTTAACAGACAGAAGGGGCAAGTTCAAATTTTCAGGTTTTTTATGCTGAATATATACTTTAGATTTCATTTGTAGTTGAATAAAGGATGTAAGAATTAGTTAGAAATTAGATAGCTCAACTCCTAACTCTACAATTATTTCAGCTGTGGAGTGCTCCTGGGAAGTATTTGGGTACAAGCCAGAAGAGCACAGTTAGAAAACCTAAACACGCATGTCAGGTTAATAAAAACAATGTCTGTTTGCAAAATTCTAATTCTACATGAACCTTAAACTAAGAAAGCCATGATAAAATACTGGGTTTTGCATTTAGATAGCTCAACTCCTAACTCTACAATTATTTCAGCTGTGGAGTGCTCCTGGGAAGTATTTGGGTACAAGCCAGAAGAGCACAGTTAGAAAACCTAAACACGCATGTCAGGTTAATAAAAACAATGTCTGTTTGCAAAATTCTAATTCTACATGAACCTTAAACTAAGAAAGCCATGATAAAATACTGGGTTTTGCATCTATAGAACCCTGCCTCTACTTCTGCCTGCTTGTAGACAGAGCTATTGCAAATTTCAATATTCATGAGCTTTTATGGATATAGATACTTAGAAATATATATATAATATATAGCTACTGAAAAATACCAGAAAAAAAATCGGGTACATACTCTGATGGAGGCTGTATTTGCTTTAACTTGTTCTGGAATCGGGCATAAGTAAATGCATAGTATTTTTAAGTCACATTATAAACAGGTAGTTTTTTGTGAGCATTTCATCCCTATACAGGAGTTGAAAGCTTTTATATTTTAATTTGCCCATCTTAAGAACCATGTTATCTTTTACCATGAGTTTGCTTTGTAAAATGCACTGATGATTTCAGTAAGTATTTCTCACTCGTATTGAGCCGTGTACTTTGGGTGCATACTTCCTAGGGGTTACAGCTATGTACAGTATTTGTAGGACCCTTGTACTCTAGTCCCCTGAGCTCCAGGGTATCTGCGGAGTGTGTGCAGTGTTCAGGTGGGCCGTGTGAACAGATACTAATACTTGAGTTGTCTTCTCCTGTATTTAATCCAATGAGCTATGGTACGTGTAAATGAACTTGACTGCTGTATATCCAGAAATGCAGTCTGACTTTGACTTCTGCTTGGACACAATAAAAACATTTTCTGCATCTAATTCTATACTTAGAGACTTGTTACTAATACCAAGACTGATTTTGAAACAGTAGTGGTTTATGTTGAAAATGGATACATACTGTTCCAGAGGGAAATGCTGATCTTCAGCTCTACACAGGTCAGCCCAATGACCTTGGGCCAGAGGAGTGGGTACAGCTGAGGAGTAAAGGGCTGGGCTGGCCGCACACCTTGGAGGAGGTACTTATAAAAGTTAAGTCTCCTAAGGTAGGTATCAATTGTATATAACATTTTGGCCTGAAATAAGCTCAATGTGAGCACCCTCCTTAATTCACCAAAAGCCCACTGTGGTTCAGTCACCAGCCTCTCCAAAATGACACTGAGGTGGAGGCTGCCACCAAAGGACTTCTCACCCCCCCAGGTATGATTTACTTTCACTGGCCTGAGCCATATCTCCTAACACTGCAGTATTAACTATTTAAGTATTTTTAAATCTGCCTCATGGGCAGAACAAAGGCTTTGACCATTATATAGTTAACAGCTTCATTATACTTACAGTATAATTATTTTTCCAGTAGCAGACTAGCTCTCTTCCTTAATTCTCAAGGTACCATTTAATGTTTTATCTCCTTCTTCTCAGACAGATGGGAATCCAACAACATATTTAAAATACTTTCTTTAATTGAAAAGGAGATGCTATTTTCCCTTAGAGCGAAAGCTTAAGTCAGCTTGCCCAATGCTCTGAGGGCAATGGGATGCAAAGCAACAGCCTGCCTTTAGGCTAACATTCAGCATTATACTGAAAGAAACTGGGTGCAGCTGGTAGCAGGGACTGCAAGAGGAAAAAGCCATCACTATCACCCACCCAAAAACAAACAAAAATCCATGTAACCAAAAAACCGCAAAACTTTTCTGTGAAGTCCACAGAGAAGATGGGGCTTGCTGTAGAAAACCAACCAACCTATGCACCTACATTTGTCTCAGGCTGCCAATGCTGAAGTTTTTTTTGTATGTGCTAAATACTGAAGATTAAAATACATATAAATTATATCCTTTATAATAAGTGACAGGACAAGGAAATTAAAACCAAGGCAGGCACCAGCAATACAGAAAATCTCCTTTCAGCAGCAAATAAGCAGAAAGAAAGAAAAATCCACATATTTTCTTCAAATGAACTGGACTGTTTTCCCTGAATGTTAAATGACCAGCCAGAAAAGTAACTAAATGGCATCTCTAATGTACACCAAAGCCACTGGAATTTTCATTATGTGAACACATGAATAGTACTATCTTTACTGGGAAGTAAAGTAAAAGCAGGGGAAAGTTAAGATTGAAGACCCCCCCCATCCAACCCTGACACCCAAATGATGCCGAGAAGTACTGGAATAGTCAGCAGGTACTGATCATCTGGCAAGAGTTTTGTGAGACTGTCCTAGTTGCATCTGTCAGAAATAGTGGTATTACAAACTCACCACCTCTAAGGCAAGCCAGATACAGTCTCTCTGCACTTCAGAATCTTCATTTTACTCTATTTCATGTAAGTACAAATCTTCTTGAAGATTAGCAAAGTAATTGTTAACATTAAACCTGATTATAAGCTTGCTTTCTTCCCTATTTAGGATTCCAAGCCTCTAATGGCAATATCTGTAACTTCTACAATAGAATTCCGTTAGTAGTAGTAGAGTTTAGCATTTAACTTACAGCTGCTTCACTGATAGCATGAAAAAAAAGGAAGAGGATTGTCTGACAAACTCATTGTAAAAAGCCAGCTAAAGCATTTTTGTTAAGCTGTGCCAGGAAAACTGGCAGTTTTTCAATTTATTTACTATTTTAAAGTTAAAAGAAAAACAAACCCAACACTTCAAAAACATTCTTCTAGGAGGTTTAGGGTTTGTTCTGACTCCAGGTTACTCAAAAATTAGGAGTATTTCCAATGAATGTAGTACATATGCTACCTTGTAGAAGACTCCTCTTTCCTGGAAGCAGAAAGAGCTGACAAACCTACACACACTGCTTGCCCCTGAAAATACCCTTCTTAAAAACAAATAAACAAAAAAACCCAAACAAAAAACCCCACAAGGAATTAATGACAAAGCCTTTATTAAAACTTTTCAAGTTACAATGATAAATGGTGGATTGTCACTTTTTAGGATCAGTGAGTTTGGCTCTTACACCACTCACCGAGCTTACAGGGAATTGTGTTAGAGGTCTGAGGTACAACTGTTTGTGCTGCTGCGTAGCAGCCTTCTACAGTGTACTTTTACACTCTATTGTACCTTCACACCTATGCAGTGCTTCAGAAAGGTTCACTGTGGTAACTGCTTGCACACCGCTTCCTTTCATTGTTAAGTAGAAAATAATATTAATTTGGTTATTGAATAATACCATGTAAAGATACAAGAGTAAATATAATAATTTTGGATTCAAACCCTCCCACCCCAAACCCTCAAGCAGTCACACTATTAAAAAAAATGTATTCCTATTCCACCCTTAAACTTTTGTATGGCAGTTGAACCCCTCTCACAGAAATAAACTGCTGTAGGTTTTTTTGACTACTTGGATCCTGTAGACAGCAGAGCAATCAATCCAGACGAAGCACTTATAGAAAGAATATAGTTTCTGTAGAGAAAAGGTTAAGGATATATACTTGTAAAGATACCACTTATTTCATACAGAACATTTAGAATTTTTATGAAAAACAAGGAATTGAAATGAACTGCACGTATCAACACAGCAATCCACAACCCACATCACAAATATAACTGATAATGACAACAAATACGAGTAGGGCTCCAGTTGTTTCAAGTGCAGTAATAAAGGATACACAGTGGGGTTGAAGTTCTTCAGCACAAAAAATGAAGCAATGATGACCAAGACCAGAAAGAGGGTATTGTTGTAAAAGATAGAAAAAGTTGTTGCTTCATAGTCTGCAACTTCATTTTTCTTCCACAGAATTCTAGGAAGAAGTAGAGACATTATTTCAAACATATTTAAATCAATGCATATCCTGGCACACCTGCCATTACGAAGCAATTAAAACCCAGAGGATAGTAAACCACATACTGCTGGTTTTGTCATACCCAGCTTCTTGAAGACAGAGCACAGCAAGAACTACCAGTCAACACGAGACAAAACCCTGCATATAGCATGCGCTTGTACACTCAAATGACATATACTTGTTTTCCTATCAGGGACATCAAACCTAGCCCTTCATAAATAACATTTCTTGTGAGCCTGTATCTGTTAAGATGCTACCAATGTGCCTAGCAATGAATACCTCACATCTTGTACAGTCCTAATGGGCATCTATGCTAACAGCAAGTGCTTCCCAATGCACTCATCAGGTATTTGTGTGGATTTCCATTGGTATGAGCTATTCAACTGGAAATCCACACACCAACACGTCAGTTATAACCATGAGAGTAACAAATACAACCAGTGATTAGTGGTACAGACTAGCAGTATATGGAAATGCTAGTCTGAAGGAACTTGCAAGCCACTGCGCAAAACACATCATGCCAGCCCATCCTCAAGAAAAGGAGCTTTTCTTATTTCTGAAGACAGTGGTCATGCTTACTCTTCAGAGAGTTATCAGAAGGCATGTACAATAAGGTGTTTTGCTTTGCAGCTCAAGGACTGAGAGGTTGCCCTACAGGACCTTAACGATAAAGGTTTCAACGTGTGAGACCTTTCACTGATAACTCACCTTGAAAAGGCTTTACAGATGAGCAAAGAGCTGACAGTATGGCTTCTACTTTTCAGAGTACAGGAAAAAAAGAGACATGGCCCCATACCTCTCATTGCCTTAAAGATTGTAGGCACTATTACAACAAGGGAGCGGAACAAACAGGATTACCTTTCATCCTTCTCCTTACGAGACATCTTCCTATTGTCTGCCTCAGACAGCTTGCGAGTAACTTCTTTGGAAACGGCATCTTCTCTTTTCTGTGCCACTCTGTAAACAGTATCATTTATGTTAAAGTTGGAAAAAAAAAACCCAAACAAAAAAAACCCCAACCAACAAAAATCCCAATAAAACAACTCTGGGATTACAGGAAGTTGTATTTACAGTGAAGAATAAAACTTAGCCAAAACACTGATCAGTGTTTCCTGAGAAGGAAGGTAGCTTTGCTGGTTCATTGTACCTGACAAGACTATTTCATAATTATGAGAGAGATAACAGAGACCAAATAGGAGAGACTTCTGTGTAAAATGGTTTCTGGAGTAACATTTCACACATTCTGACTCATGAAAGAAAATGTTGCAAATGCTGGATTTGTAAATTAGTTAATAATAAATTCTACTTCAAATAGCCACCAAACTTACTTGTGTTTGAGAACAAACTTGACATTCTTGTATGCAAAAGCTACTAGATAGGTACTGATGAGGGTCATTACACTATACAGGACTGCAGACTGAACAAGATCCATATGCCATATCCTCCAATAAAGCCCTTAAAAAACAGAAGAAAAGACATTTTGAGTGGCTTGCCTCCCCAAGACAAATGCCACAGGAATCCTACACAGATTACTAGCTCTGTAATTCGGCACTGGCCTTGCAAAATCACCCGGGGAGCTTTCGAAGTGCATTAGAAATACTTTGGAGCAAAGAAAACTGCTTTGATTGTGGCTGGAAGGGGCCTTATGAGACGACAGGAAACCCAGCTGAGAAGCAGCCCAGCACAGCCAAACTGACTCGTCAGTGTTCGACTGGCAGCTCGTCCATCTTTACCGACGACAGAACCACCATCCTGCCCGCTATTCCAAATGGCACCGGCTTCCAAACTGCATCTAACACAGCACGAAGACAGCAAGACAATCCTAAGGGACTGGCTCAAAGCGGCGAGTCCCAGCAGCTCGGAGACCCCAGTCCGCAGCCGGCAATGGGCCAGGAACCCGAGGCAGGCTGCGAGGAAGCCCCGCTCCCCTCTGGGCCTG